GGTCATTTCGGGAATAACATGCCGATCTGTCAACTCTACCGCATCATTTGAAATGGCCCCATGTACCGCTCTACTGCGTGGTAACTGATATCTACTGCATTTTTAATTTTCTTGCCAAAATTATGGAACTAAAGGACGCAACTCTTTGCATATAAACAAAAAAGGTCGCGACCTTTGGTTATCAACATCGATTTTGGGTTATTGTAAGGTGTAATTTATCTAATAGATTTGTAATCAAATAGTTTTCAACACATTTTAGAGTTAATAATTATTGACACAGTTTCCAATATGCTTAAATACCATAAAATATGATAAGCACACTGCACCAATATAGCCTATCTTATATAAAATAATATTGACAAAAAAATTCCAGAATGACGAATGATAGGAAATTTTTAAAAAGTTATTTGGTATATCTAACTATTTATATTTATTTGACATTATTTCTTTCTGTAGGCTATAATATTCAATTTTAAGATTATAGTTATTTGATTGATTACGGTACATAAATTTTATATGGTTAGCATTGCTTGTGTTTATTTATACAGTGGACTCTGTCACATCCGATGTCTGATCACTCCGGATTGCTGTGACATCCGACATGATTTTCATGTCCCGATTTATTTCCTTATTACTTCAGCCAAAAAATCGCTGGTAAATCCGGATTCTGTATGGTCCGGATTACGACATCAATCAGCCGTCCCGTCACATAATTTCCATTGAATCGACACCATATAATCCGTACTTCAAACGGTGGGTGTGAAGCATCCAATTATCGGTGAGATTAAAACTCAATGGGTGTGAAGCCAGAAAAGATTAACAAGCAATCACCAATCAATTGGTGAGATTAAAACTCGCAAGCGCCGGTCTGTGTTGATTACTTTGATAATGTTATAAAAAATTCTTTGTTGATTATTTTACAATTTATAATCTCTTGTAAGAGTGCGCTTGGTATTTGATTTTAGTTACTCATGTCAAATACCGCGACATTATATAAAAATTGCCGCGATTGAAGAATCATTATACATTATTGTATTCAAACTGTCTGAACGTCCTGCAAAGCGTGCCCGAACAGATTTGACATTAGATGTAAAGCGGCAACTTATAGCAGATTTTGAGAAGGAATTAGCCGTTAAGTATTCAATTGGCCGAGCTACATGTACAGTGTCAGACATATTAAAGTGTAAAGATGAATTTAAACAGAAGTTTGCCGATAATTTAAACTGCAGTAAGAAACGATTTTACACCAACTCAAAATTTAAATATATTGTACGAATGCATTGATATTACATGTAAATTATTTTATGAATATATTGTACACATGCATTGTTATTGTTGATTATTTAATGTAATAAAATTTTGATGAAAGTACAGAAAGGTTTATCATTTTTAAAGGGAATAGCATTCTGGTGATTCGAAGCTACAATATAAAAATACTTCCGGTTTTCGAAGTTACAGTATTTTGGGTTTTGGAGAAGGCTCGGTATTCCGACACGCTGTGTGATCCGAAATATTGTAACGATCCCTTACGATGTCGGATGTGACAGAGTCCACTGTATCTATATTTATCACCCTTTAAAAATTTGACACTTGTAGTTAAATATATAATTTCTAAGTTAATTACCCTTGGACGTGCGAATATGCATGCTTTTAGAAATCTACTGCCAAATCATGGTTTCTACTGCATTTTTTGTACTACCCTACTGCATTGCAGCTCTGAGTGGTCTGCTATATAACATGATTCAATCTTATTTTATTTAATTAGCTTGCGCTTAGGGGTCTTTAGCAGTGGGAGGAAACCGGAGGACGTGGAGAAAACCCATGAGGTTCGACAGACGACCCTACTCCTTGTCACATACAACCATTCGATCATCCAACCCACTAAGTTAAATAGAAGCATCTATATGGTTAAAGGCTCAATACCACTCTTGTTGTAACTGAATAATATGTCCCAATCTTTATTCTGGTCAACAAATTGTACTATTTTACAATATTCCAATTAATTGATGATACAAATTTCATCTTAACACACCTAATTTAAAAAATTGGAAAAATTCAACTAAATGATTTGAAAAGCCTGATGGTAAGCTTTTCAAATATGACTTGGATTTAAAAATATTTTTGAACCCTCTGGACAAGTAAAATAGGATTTAATGGATAATTTACACAACAGGTCAATCTAGTACTTAGAATAAGGCTATTTTTTATTTTCTGGAGCTGTCAAGCCGGCAAGAGTGTTATTGTCCTTTTAAGAACATATTATTTGTACAACATATCTAGGAAATGTTAACATTACAAAGTATTAGACATCTTTATTTTCAGACACTCATTTAAAAAAAAAAAACCTATAAGATGTCTGATATTCTGTATTTAAAATGGCTTTTATCGAAAGTAGGTATCTATAAAGATTTGTTAATTATGTCTAAGACAGGGGCGGATCCAGAGGGGGGGTTTGGGGGGTCGAAACCCTCCCCTGCTCAGCTACATAAATTTTTTTGTAAATCAGTACTTTTTATGAGAAAAGTTTCTCGGCCGTGTGCTTTATCCATTATCGACAGATGTGGGACAGGATGGGCATTCAAAGCACGGAGATAATGAAAAAGACATTATTTGATATCTCAATTAATGCTTTGCATCCATGAAATTGAATGACAAAGTCATTGTATTAATTCATAATAAAAACTGACATCAAACGAAGTGTTGAATTTCTCTGTTTAAAAAGCTCAATGTGTATGTATATACGCCACAATGACCATAGAGACCATGTGGGAAGGGGGGGGGGGGAGATACATTGTCTCAGGAACCTGGCAAACCCCTTCCTGCAAAAATTCCTGGATCCGCCCCTGCTCTAAGATCATGACCTATAATTAACCTTCGAAGTTTTACCGTAGGAATTTTATTATTACAGTCATATCGGGCGTACTCAAGCGCCTTTCCCTGGAATTGGATCATTATTTAGACCCGAACCAAATAACGGGTATGACGATGGAGGATTTACTCACTAATAAAAAGGAAATTGAAGACATAAAAAATCTGATGAGAAAATTTATGGCGTTGTTAGAAGAGCTAAGCAACAAGAAGCGGGTTGTTTTGGTGGTAGACGCCATAGAACTGCTTGAGAACGAATTGAAAACAGCAAATATAAAAAAATATTTACATAGTGATTAAAGTTAGGTTAAGAATTTTCTCAAATTTGTTCACATGTTAACTAAAATATAGCCCTTTTTAAAAAACTTTTTTTGTTTTAATGTATCAAATACTTCAATAAGAACCCATGTGCAAAGTTTTGTTTTTCTGGAACAAAGAAATGAAATGAAATGGGGTTTAATGTCCTACTGTTCTGCTCCTATACTGGGCTAATGAAGACGGGCATACGCCATACAGTGTGCTATGAGGGAAATTTTGCCTGGACAGCGGCACTATCGCCTACTCTTATATCGAATTCCAACTGCCAAGGGATCTTTTATGTGCATTCCAATGTATACACGGGACCTTGGTTTTTTATCTCATCCGAAGGACTAGACAGCTGTCCTTGTCAGGCCCTCCGTTCTGACCACTGACAAGGGGAAACCACGACGGAAAATCAAGATGAACTTTCTCGGCCAATGTAGGGATCGAACACCCGACCTCCAGGTTAGCGAACCAGCGTCTTAACCACCTAGCCACCGTGGCTCCCTTTCTGGAACAAAGATATTTCTTATAAACAGTTGTGTCAGTTTAAACATACATACATTATGCAATCTGCCTATTGTAAGTCTTTCTTTATGCTTCAGATGTTATAGGAATTATTAATTAGACCTTTATTTATATGACAAGCTCAAAATCAACTCTGTAGACCCATAGATGGCTTGGATACAGTTTGGATTTAAACAGTCGTCCATTTAAAATTAAATCAATAAATGGCAGACCAAGTGAAAGTTTACTGTTAGTCGCTGATGTCACTACCGGAAACAGGAGATGACAGGCCTGCCGAGCGAGGCTACCATAGCCATTGAGCTTCTTACTTGATTATTGAGAATATGTGGGTGGAGTTATCATCTCTCAATCAAACGATCGACAATTCTGCAGAAACAATTGATGCCTGTTTCTAGTCCAAACATCCAACAGTGCCAATTCCGTTTAAAACAAAGTAATTTGACTGAAATTTTCAACATTTTCTTTTTTTATCATCTATTTTTGTATTATTATAGCAAGAATGGCCAACTCTTTATAAAACTGTTAACTAATGTATCTTTAGCATGAAAACCCTCTAGAATAAATGGCTTTTACATCATGATCAATCAATGGATTGGATGAAAAACTGAGATCCTGTAATTGGCATGCATATAAAAGATCCCTTGCCAGTTGGAATTCGATGTAAGAGTGAGCCAAAGTGGTAAAATTTTCCTCATAGTACAGTGAAGATGATATCGAGAGTTGATTATGGTTTGGATCAGTTAATTAATGTTTAATTAATAATTTAGAAAACATTTCAGGCCTAAAGAAAGACCTGCAATAGGCAGATTTAGTTCTTACACAATGCATGTTTAATTAAGAGAAGATAACCAAAATATTTACGCTAGATTATAAAATCTCCCAGCTTGGATTCATTCGGATTCATAACTGAGTTCAGTGAGAATCAGTGGTGGCGCTGGTTTTTGTTGACTATATATACATTGTGTGTAGTGGATGTCAAATGTCTGACAAATCACTTTAAGATTGTTATTCCTTCTAAAGATTCAACTTTCACAATATTGTAATTTACAAGGGATTCCCTAATATGTTAATTTACAAGGGATTCCCCAATATTGTAATTTACAAGGGATTTCCCAATATTGTATTCTAAAAGGGATTCCCCAATAATGTAATTTACAAGGGATTCCCCAATACAGTAATTTACAAGGGATTCCCAATACTGTAATTTACAAGGGATTCCCCAATATTGTAATTTACAAGAGATTTATAATCCCTTGAATGAAGGATTATGTTTTAAAGTGTGAGGATGTAAAAAATATTCTCACCTGGTCCACAGCTATATTCATATTCATATTCAAAATCAAAATGATGTTTTCCATTTGAACCTGTTAAAAACAAAACATCAAGGGTTAATTCAAAACAAGCCATAAAAATAAATGAATGGGTGCTTTAACACTCTACTTTTCTGGGAACCACGGTGGCTAAGTGGGAGCCACAGTCGGTAAGATGCAGTTGGAATTCAATGTAAGAGTAGGCCATAGTGCGACTGCCGGGGCAAAATTTCCCCTCACAGCAAACTTTATTAGCCCGTCTTTATTGGCCCAGTTGGAGCAGAAAGTAGGACGTTAAACCCCATTTCATTTCATTACTATTTTTCTGCATGACTGGGCTAATGAACACAGCAAACAACATGCAGCGTGCTATGAAGTACATTTTGCCTGAAGATTGTTTATTAGGTAATCAAGTTTAGTTTCTTGATCATAAGGAAGCCATCACAGCTATACGTGTGTTCTTTGCGTGTTCGTTGCGTGTACAATAGGTCTTTTGTTATTTTCAGGTATCAGAATTCGAATCACTGATAGAATGATAGAAACTTCAATTTCATTCATAAGAGATGTTTGCACTCATTTTAGTGCATTGGCAGACCGTTTTCTCATTCAAGAAAGGTCGTTATTCAACTCGTTGTTGTTCTCACATTTTCGACCCATGGTGATAATAAAATTTGAAACAATAATATCCAATTTCATTTATAAGAGATGCTTACAAAATGTCCAAATAATGTTGTTTCAAAATGTTTTATTGTTATTTTGATCATTTAGATCGATAGATGGTATATTTATAGACTCATTTTTGTGAAAATCTCAATTTCGATCAAAATCAATATTTTCACTTGTTTTGTTTGTAGCTGATCACATATATCATTGAATTTTTATACCTCCTATAATTTCATGATGTATAAATAACGTCCTGCCATACAATGTGGGCGTATAAAAACGTCCATTTTCACTTTTGACAGTGTATCTCTTTGCGAGTGAAACGGGGCTGTCAGATAAGCAGCCCATATGAACTGTTTATGTTTATGTGTAGGCAATTGGCCTGCTATTAACATACACTGGTTACCTCTAATAAAAACAGCAGTGCATTTCCGCAGTTTTATATTGTTTCTGAATATTCCCTACTTTTTTGGAAGAGTATATATAATAATTACCCTACATTATAATTAAATTAATTTTAAATTTTGACAATGACAGGATTATCTATAGTACTTAATTTATTACTTGTAGCAAAGAAAGAGAGAGAGAGAGCGAGAGGGATGGGGTTTAACGTCCACTCGACACAGGCTAGGTCATTTCGGGACTAACATATGGTTTAAATTTATTTCAATAATTTGGTTGCGCGTAGGGGTCTTTGGCAGTGGGAGGAAACCAGAGGACCCGGAGAAAACCCACGAGGTTGGACAGACGACCCTACTCCTTGTCACGTACAATCGGGGATTCGAAACCACGCCAGTTGACTCAATGACAGGCTTTATGATACAGCACACACAAACTAGGTCATTTCAGGACTAACACATGGTTCAATTTTATTTCAATAATTCGCTTGCGTGTAGGGGTCTTTAGCAGTGGGAGGAACCCGGAGGACCCGGAGAAAACCCACAAGGTTGGACAGGCGACCCCACCCCTTGTCCCGTACAACCGGGGAATCGAAACCATGCTAGTTGACTCAATGACAGACCTTATGAAACAGTGTGTATGTGCTAACCTTTCAGCCATCCAACCCCCCCCATGTAGCATAAAACCCCCCCATGTAGCATAAAAATAAAATAAAAAATTGGCTTTGAGGCTATAAAACAGTAAATACCAAAGTAATAAATCAACAGGGTATATATTGAAAAATAATTTTAATATAATGTAGCAGGATCGATGGACGACGGACTATCCACCTTTCCAGGTCGCGGGTTGAACCAAGAGACAAAACAGGAACACAGCTATACAGTTTATTTACAATACACACAGGAACAAAACAGCCAATTATTTACAGAAAGAAGAACAAGTAGAAGACAAGAAATGAAGAATTATAGATCTGATGAAAACCATATAGACATGTACAAAAGAGCGAAACACTGAGTTAGTGAATTCAGAAAATGATGCATCCAAGATGGAGATGTAAGAAAAAGTGACTAAAGGTGAAACAGGATGTTAGGATAGTATCTAAGTAACGGATTACTACTCACTCCAAACAAGGTGGAAACTACAGATGACATAGAAAAGCAAGACTACAAGATATATGAAGTGTCTAGTTGAACAAGACTATTAAAGAACTGAGTTAACTGACTAAATAAACTAAAACCATACACAGGATGAAAGAGGCTACTTCTTAATACTAAATATATAACAACTGACAACCAAACATACACTAATATTAAAGATACATTATGTAAGATTTAGATAAAGAGCTGACCATTCTTGCTATAATAGTTCCAAAATAGATAATGTAAAATGAAAATATTGAAAATTTCATTTAAATTACTTCATTCTGAGCCCAGTTATATACTGTTTGTAGTTTTGACAAGATGTGTGCATTGTGGTAATCAGGGCACTGGTATATTCAAGACTTTCCCATTTTTAATAAATTTTTTAATGGCGAACCATTCTAATCTATGATCTTTTAGAGGCATTTAGTAACTGGATAGAGCAATAAACTATAACCCATACTTAAGGAAGAACAATTACTTATTTATTTGGGCGACGTTTCGAAGAGTATTCTCTCAACGTTTTCAAGCAGTTAAAGAGTTGATTATCCTCTTGTTTTGTTAATAACTGTCTAATTAACAGTTTATATAACATTTCAGGCCTAAAGAAAGACCTGCAATAGTCAGATTTAACTCTTGCATAATATATGTTTAATAAAACATAATATATAATGCTCAACAGCATTACAGAAACAGACTTTGATATCATGAAGCTTTTTTTTTAACCCAAAACGTAATGAAGATGAATAAAGCACCTTTTCTTTCTACCACCTGTCGGAGGACTTTAAACCCCATTTGAATTTCAATTATTTAAACCTAAAGTCTGTTTTTGTTCTAGACTACTGTTGAGCAGGGATTTTCAAATATCTATTTATGTCTACTCCGCTGGCACGATCGTTTGATCCAAGAGCTACAGCCTCTCCTGCTCTTTCCACCGGCACATTTGTTTGATCCAGGACCTAAGCAGGGCTACCGACCTGTCCAGCCTCTACTACGCTTTCTGCCGGCACGATCATTTGATCCAGGAGGAGTTCTATTGGTCTGTCAAGTCTCTACTACACTTTCCGCTGGTACCAACGTTTGATCCAGGAGAAGTTCAATTGCCTTGTCCAGCCTCTACTACGCTTTCCACCAGCACCAACGTTTGATCCAGGAGGAGTTCTATTGGCCTGTCCACCGGCAGGATCATTTGATCCAAGAGGAGTTCTATTGGCCTGTCCACCAGCAGGATTGTATGATCAGGGAGGATTTCTATTGGCCTGTCCAGTTTCTAATACCCTTTTAAAGGAGTCTTGCTGTTCAACCTCTAGTTTTGTAATGTATATAATTGTTAATTGCTCTCCATATACGGTCATAGTCTTTGAACCATAAACTGGTTCCACAGACTAGTTAATCTTTTAATTCTTGAGGTGACACACTTCAAATAAAAACCTAATTCTTGCGGCGATGCGCTTCAAATAAAAACCTAATTCTTGGGGCGATGTGCTTCAAATAAAAACCTAATTCTTGGGGTGACGCGCTTCAAATAAAAACCTAATTCTTGGGGTGACGCGCTTAAAATAAAAACCTAATTCTTGGGGCGATGTGCTTCAAATAAAAACCTAATTCTTGGGGTGACGCGCTTCAAATAAAAACCTAATTCTTGGGGTGACGCGCTTAAAATAAAAACCTAATTCTTGGGGCGATGTGCTTCAAATAAAAACCTAATTCTTGGGGTGACGCGCTTCAAATAAAAACCTAATTCTTGGGGTGACGCGCTTAAAATAAAAACCTAATTCTTGGGACGATGTGCTTCAAATAAAAACGTAATTCTTGGGGCGATGCGCTTCAAATAAAAACCTAATTCTTGGGGCGATGCGCTTAAAATAAAAGCTCTTCTTCTTGGGGAAACGTTCTTCAAATAAAAACCCTGCTTCTTGGGGCGATGTATTTCAAATAAAAACCTAAAGCTTTGCCAATTCGAGTACGATAAACGTGAAAACTGACAAAGAAAGAAGTACCTTGAAAATGAACAAAGCTACCATATTACTTATCTATATCACACGTCGATAGAAGGCTGGACTTCTTGCTTGAACTCTCTGTTAATGTGTGCACTCTACAAACTGGACATACCTAGCTGTCGTCAGTTGTCAGTTTTGAGCGAACAGCCGTTGCCTCGGATATGGCCATATTCTCAAAGCTGCAGGGTCAGTCTATGTTAGACCTAACAGAGAAATTTGATAGTTTAAAGAAGTACCTCTATGTGATGCAGAATAACAGCTTGGACTAAATGTGATATCATCTATAGCAACACCTATACCTTCCATAGCGTGCTCAGCCACATCAGCAGTAAAAACTAATATAAAACTGAAATTATAAAACAGGTTACATTAATTACTCCTATCGTCATGCATAAGCCTAGATGCAGTAGTGAAATGAAATGAAATGGAGTTTAACGTCCTACTGTTCTGCTCCTAACCTGGGCTAATGAAGACGGGCATACGCCATACAGTGTGCTATGAGGGAAATTTTGCCCAAACAGTGGCACTACGGCCTACTCTTATATCGAATTCCAACTGCCAAGGGATCTTTTACGTGCATGCCAATGTGTACACGGGACCTCGGTTTTTCGTCCCATCCGAACGACTAGACAGCTTTCCTTGTCAGCCCCTCCGTCCTGCATCACTGACAAGGGAGAACCACGCCGGAAAATCTGGATGAACTTTCTCGGCCAATGCAGGGATCGGACACCCGACCTCCAGGCTAGCGAGCTAGCGTCTTACCCACTTAGCCACGTGATCCCCAGATGCAGTAGTAAAGTAGGACATTAAAACCCATTTCATTTCAAGACAAAATTTCTCTCCAGCCCAGCATGGAGAGAGAGAGATGAGGTTTAACTCCACTCATTTCGGGACTAACATATGGTTCAATTTTATTACAATAATTTGCTTGTGCGTAGGGGTCTTTAGCAGTGGGAGGAAACCCGGAGAAAAACCCACAATGTTGGACACGCCAGTTGACTGAATGACAGACCTTATAATACAGCGTGCACGTGCTAACCATTTGGCCATCCAACCCCGCTACTGTCATCAATAGAGCTTTAACATGTTGTCAATGGTATGTAGGGGTCTTTAGCAGGTGGAGGAAACCGAAGGATCCCGAGAAAACACCCAATGTTGGCCAGTCAACCCCCCCACCTTGTCACATACAAGTGACTAAATGACAGACCTTCTGATCTAAAGTGGAGGGTTGGATGGCCGAATGGTTAGCACGTGCGCGCTGTATCATAAGGTCTGTCATTCAGTCAACTGGCGTGGTTTCGATTCCCCAGTTGTACGTGACATGGAGTAGGGTCGCCTGTCCATCCTCGTGGGTTTCTCCGGGTCCTCCGGTTTCCTTCCACTGCTAAAGACCCCTGCCGCAAGCGAATTATTGAAATAAAATTGAACCATATGTTAGTCCCAAAATGACCTAGTTTGTGTCGAGTGGATGTTTAACCCCATTTCTCTCTCTCTTTCTCTGATCTAAAGCAAATGTGTTAGACGATTTCCCCCCCCCCCATCTCCCCCGCACACACACACACCCACACACACACACACACACACACACCCAGCTTCAGCATTATTTGTGTACTACAATAGAGCACTGACCAGGAATTCAACTCAACACTAGAATTTCTAATTTTGCTTCATATATCACACTTTGCAAGTAAAAGACCATCAAACCCTTGTAAAAAAATTTATTGCTTAAAAACATTCACATAAAAATCAAATAAAAATCAGATTTTTTGTTATAAGTTACACGTTTATATTTATTGTGATAAATTCCACAATTTACAAGAACAGATGTCAATGATCATAAAGCTGATCGATTTCACTTGTTGAACAATCGGACTATTAACTGATTTGTTTTGTTTTTCGGTTCTTTTTAGATTTCTAAACGAGATGTAAATAAATCTACAAATTACAAGAACAGATGTCAATGATTATGAAGTTTATTGATTTCATTGGTTCAATGATCCGACTATTAACTGATTTGTTTTTTTTTTTTAGATTTCTAAATACTAGACCCTAAAAAGATCAAAGCTCATTAAACAAGAGGCCAACATCTGGCCATGTGTGATTTTATATTCTTATTATGTTTAAAATCTATTCATGTTCTATCTATCACAATGATCGTATATTTGTTGAAAATTAAATCCCTTGCAGTGGTGGACCGAAAGATATTAGGTTATGGGTTAGAGGGGCGTGGTATAATTCTGGAGAGAGAGAGAGAGAGAGAGAGAGAGAGAGAGAGAGGGAGAGAGAGAGGGAGAGAGAGAGAGAGAGAGAGAGAGATTTGACTCCACGCACACAAACTAGGTTATTTTATTCTCAGTAATTTGCTTTCATTTTGGGGTCTTTTAGTAGTCAGAAGTATCCAGAGGCCTTGGAGAAAACTGACGAGGATGGACAGGCAACCCCACTTCTTGTCACTTAAAAGTACTTGATCGATCCATGACAGAGAGAGAGAGAGAAATGGGGTTTAACGTCCACTCAACACAAACTAGGTCATTTCGGGACTAATATATGGTTTAATTTTTTTTCAATTATTCGCTTGCGCGTAGGGGTCTTTAGCAGTGGGAGGAAACCGGAGGACCCGGAGAAAACCCACAAGGTTGGACAGGCGACCCTACTCCTTGCCACGTACAACCGGTGATTCGAAACCACGCCAGTTGACTCAATGACAGACTTTATGGTACAGCACGCACGTGCTAACCATTCAGCCATCCAACCCCTCCGATCCATGACAGACCTTATGAACCAAAACACATGCATTGGGCCATTTGAGAGTAACCACCCACTTAACACAAACTAACATATGTTCAATTTTATTTCAATAATAATTTGTTTAAGTGTAAAGGTCTTTAGCAGTGGGAGAAAACCGGAGAAAACCCAAGAGGCGATAACAAAACAAACTAGGTCATTTTGTGACTAACATATGGTTCAATTTTATTTCAATAATTCTCCTGCACTGAAGGGTCTTTAGCAGTGGGAGGAAACCGGAGGACTTGCAGAAAACGGATGAGGTTGGACAGACGACCCTATTTTGAATATTATGGATAATATTGAGTTAGCCCCTTTAATTTTGAATATCATGGATAATATTGAGTTAGCTCCTTTAATTTTGAATATTATGGATAATATTGATTTAGCTCCTTTAATTTTGAATATCATGGATATATTGGGTTAGCCCCTTTAATTTTGAATATCATGGATAATATTGAGTTAGCCCCTTTAATTTTGAATATCATGGATAATATTGAGTTAGCTCCTTTAATTTTGAATATCATGGATATATTGGGTTAGCCCCTTTAATTTTGAATATCATGGATAATATTGAGTTAGCCCCTTTAATTTTGAATATCGTGGATAATACTGAGTTAGCTCCTTTAATTTTGAATATCATGGATAATACTGAGTTAGCTCCTTTAATTTTGAATATCATGGATAATATTGAGTTAGCCCCTTTAATTTGGAATATCATGGATAATATTGATTTAGCCCCTTTAATTTTGAATATTATGGATAATACTGAATTAGCTCCTTTAATTTTGAATATCATGGATAATACTGAGTTAGCCCCTTTAATTTTGAATATTATGGATAATATTGAGTTAGCCCCTTTAATTTTGAATATCATGGATAATATTGAGTTAGCCCCTTTAATTTTGAATATCATGGATAATATTGAGTTAGCCCCTTTAATTTTGAATGTCATGAATAATATTGAGTTAGCCTCCTTTAATTTTGAATATCATGGATAATATTGAGTTAGCCCCTTTAATTTGGTATATTATGGATAATGCTGTGTTAGAGGTACTATTTATAATCTGTTTTGAAAACGCCAGTGTCCCCTGGTGATTGACAGATGCAGGCATTATAAAACTGATTTAACAAATGTTCATATTCGATTTTCCAACAGTGGGCGGTAACAAATATAAGAAATAAAAATAAAGTTTTATAGTCCATTTATGTATTAAACAGGTGATATATTGTCTGCTTGGCATTTAGTGATATCCATCTTCTTTTAACCTATCTAAACAACAACTTGAAGATTGTATTAGTGAACTAAGACTATGGATGTCTAAGAATTGTCTTAAATTAAATGACGATAAAACAGAATTTCTTCTTTTGGAATCGAAATATCAATTAAATAAATATGTACATTCTAACTTATCCATTGTTATAGGTGATTGTGAGATTAACTCTACTGCTTTTAGTCGAAATATTGGTGAGATGTTCGATAATTTTATGAATATAGAAGCACAAGTTAATCATATATCTAAAGTTTGTTATTTCAATATTCGCAGTATTGGTAAAATACGGAACTATTTATCAAGAGATGCAACAAAAACTCTTATTAACTCCCTTGTGACGTCAAGACTCGATAATTTTAACCCTCTATTAGCTGGCTTACCCCTTAAACTTATTAACAAACTCCAACGAATTCAAAATACTGCTGCTAGATTAATAACCTTGACGATTAAATATACAAGTGTAACCCCTGTTCTCTTTCAGCTGCACTGGTTGCCCATTAAATATAGAATAGATTTTAACTTTTAAATGCCTTCATAATTTAGCACCAAAGTATTTATCTGAACTTTTAGAATTATACACCCCAGACAGAACCCTACGTTCATCTGATAAATTACTTTTAAAGCAAAAAATTGTAAATCTTTCTAGTTACGGGGCACGTTCTTTTAGTTATCAAGCGCCTATTTTATGGAATCAATTACCTTTTAATATTCGAATGGCATCATCACTGGTCAATTTTAAAAAACAGATTAAAACTTTCTTATTTTTAAAGGCTTATAACAAATTTTAACACCCATTATTTTGTCTATTGTATGTATTTTTTAGAAATAACTGCTTTTTTTTTTAAATGTATTTTTAACATTTTTGATGTTATTTACTTTTTGAATGTATGTTTTTGTTACACTGTAAAGTGCCCTTGAACACATCTGTGAAAGGGGCGCTCTATAAATTTTGTAATAATAATAATAATAATAATAATAATAGTGATATCGTATGACAGCTTAAACTTACAGAGTTCTTTTTATTCCAGATAGGGTCAAACAGTTCATTAAACATACATTATGCAAGAGCTAAATCTGTCTATTCACGCAGGTCTTTCTTTAGGCCTGAAATGTTATCTAAATTTTTCAAATAAATTTATTTTCAGCTGATTTTCTTAACAACTTGTTCATTTTTATCATTTTATTAATTTTATCCCAGTATATGTGAATTTTAGTCTTCTGGTCTATAAAATATCCAAATTTTCTATTTTGGGCAGATTGTGTGAAATGGCACATGTCGACCTTATTGGAGAGGGATGGGTTTAATGTCCACTCAACACAAACTAGGTCATTTCGGGACTAACATATGGTTCAATTTCATTTCAATAATCTGCTTGCACGTAGGGGTCTTTAGCAGTGGGAGGAAAATAGAAGACCCGGAGAAAACCCACGAGGTTGGACAGGCGACCTTACTCCTTGTCACATACAACTGGGGGATCGAAACCACGCCAGTCGACTCAATGACAGACCTTCTGTGCTTACCATTTGGCCATCCAACGCCCCCATGTCAGGTAAAACTATAATAAAATCATTTCCATGCTTGGCTACCATGGCTCCCCCAACCCCAAATAAAAAAAAGACGGATACACACATCACCAACTAACTAGTATCCATGACAACTAACCTGCTATCTACATTGAGCTCTATAACTTGATGGTACCATTTTAACGGTTCTCTTCCTGTAGTCTCCCATAAAAACTTGGCTGACATGTCATAACAAGGTTTTCTCCATTCCAGCTTCAGTCTCGACTCAATATTATCCGACATCAAATAATAAAATCCTACCTAAAATGAAAATAAATTTTGATCTATATGTTAAACATACATTATGCAAGAGCTAAATCTGTCTATTGCAGGTCTTTATTTAGGCCTGAAATGTTATCTAAATTATTAATTAGATATTAATTAACCTATCCAGACCATAATCAACTCTAGATGGCATCGCTAGTCTGCGATCTTCAGTGGATTATGAGCTGATTTACTGCATAACTTTCCTTCCACAATTTAACGATTAAATGGATAATCGAAAGCTATGCTGTTTATGGTACTGACTTTAGTAATGATGATCGAGGCTAGGCGGAAATTTCAATCGCTTAGTTCTCGGTTCATAGTGGATCAATTTGAATGAAATTTTCAGCAAATAGCCTTTACATTATCTACTTTTTAACTATTATAGTGAGAACTGTCGACTCGTTATCGAATCTCCTATAATGTATTTTTAATGAAGACAACTTGTTGGTTACCAACATCCTGTACCCTTGGACATGTTTAGATAGGTACAGTGATAGACAATCTCACTATTTTTAAAAAAAAAAAAAGATTTATTCAGGATATGGTAATGTGATTGGGGAACAGGGTCAGGAAAACTCTTTCCCTGTCTCAGTATCATTGGTAATCAACAGAGAGAAAGAGAAATGGAGTTTAACGTCCAATCGACACAAACTAGGTCATTTCGGGACTAACATTTGGTTCAATTTTATTTCAGTAATTTGCGTAGGGGTCTTTAGCAGTGGGAGGAAACCGGAGGACCTGGAGAAAACCCATTAGGTTGGACAGGTGACCCAACTCCTTGTCACGTACAATCGGGGAATTGAAACCACCCTAGAATTTCAAAGAAATTTAACATCAAAACACAGAATATACAGATTAATTTATAGTTTTTCTACGGCTTTAAAAAAGGATAATTCTTAAAATTGCCATATTCTTTGGATAAAATATCTTAAAAATCTGAATTAGATAAAGTAATTTGTAATTTAAAAAGTGAGGATGTTAGCCCAATAAGGTCGACATGTGCCATTTCACCCAATCTGCCAAAAATAGTAATTTTGGATATTTTTAGACCAGAAGACTAAAATTGACGTATACTGTGATTAAAATGATAAAATGATTAAAATGAACAAGTTGGTAAGAAAATCTACTAAAAATAGATCTTATTTGAAATTCAAATGATCTTAGTTAGAGAGAGAGAGAGAAATGGGGTTTAACGTCCACTCGACACAAACTAGATCATTTCAGGACTAACATAGGGTTCAATTTTATTTCAATAATTCACTTGCGCGTAGGGGTCTTTAGCAGTAGGGGGAAACCGGAGGACCCGGAGAAAACCCACGAAGTTGGACAGACGACCATACTCCTTGTCACGTACAACCATGGAATTGAAACCACGCCATCTGCTAACCATTCAGTCATCCAACCCCCCGACCTTATTTAGAAACAATGGCACTTGTTCACCTCATTGCAATAGCATCCTCAACTGAGTGTCAGACATCCAAGTAAACGTAAAATTTAAAACTTTATTGAGACAAAAACAAATGAGAATCTATAAAAATGAGTAAAATGATGAAAGGGAGATAACTCAATTTAAGGCTGAGAGAAAATACTGCTTGGGAATAATTACATTGATTCATGAATTTGCAGATTCATTCATTGTTTTGTTAAAGTCTTGATTCATCACTTTAATCAAATTGGAATCCCAACTAGATCTTTGTAAAAGGTGAATCTCTTAATAGGAATGGGGGGCTGGATGGCCGAATGGTTAGAGAGTGCGCGTTGTATCATAAGTTCAACTGGCCTGGTTTCGATTCCCTGGTTAAACCTGACAAGGAGTAGGGTCGCCTGTCTAACCTCCAGTTTCCTCCCACTGCCAAAGACCCCTACATGCAAGCAAAATATTGAAATAAAATTGAACCATATGTAGGTCTCGAAATGACCTAGTTTGTTTCGAGTGGACTTTAAACCCCATCTCTCTCTCTCTGTAATAAGAATATCGTTGAATCCATGTAGGGAGATTTTATATCTAGAATCGGTATTTTGACATTCTTATCTAAATTAAATATGAAATAATCAATCTGAGGACATAATTAGTAACGTGAATTAAGCTGCAAGAAATCTGATATTTTAGCGAAAACTCAAATAATGCATACAGCCTTTAAGACATCCAACCAAAGTTTTAACACTGAAATATGAGTTCATTTTTAATCTTAGCTGTACACATACATTAAATACTTTTGTATTTTATTAAAATCACATTTCTTCTTACTTATCATTAATAAATGACATTGTACACCATTCGTTCTTTTGTTGCTGGGGAAATGGTACTAGTACAGAATTGAACCACGAAGTAGGATGTTAAAATTTATTCCATTCATTCAGTTTAAAGTACTACTTAATTGATAGATAGAGACAGAAATGGGATTTAACATCCATTCGACACAAACTAGTTCATTTCGGGACTAATATATGGTTCAATTTTATTTATTCAGCAGTGGGAGGAAACTGGAGGACACAGAGAAAACCGACAAGGCTGGACAATCGACCCTACCCATTGTCACGTACAACCTGGGAATTGAAACCATGCCATGCTACGAGTTTGGACAGACAACCCTCCTCTTTGTCACATACAACTGGGGAATCAAAACCATGGCAGGACGTTGGTCAGACGACCCCACTCCTTGTCACGTACAAACTGGGAATTGAAACCACGGCACGATGTTGGAGAGAGAGAGAGAGAGAGAGAGAGAGAGAGAGAGAGTGAAAGACTAACATACAGTTTAATTTTATTTCAGCAGTGGAAGGAAACCGGAGAAAACCCTCGAGGTTTGAAGGCAACCCTACTCCTTGTCACGTACAATGGGGAAATCAAAACCAAGCAAGTTGACTCAATGACAGGCTTTATGCTACAGCTTGCACGTGCTAACCATTTGGTCATCCAACCCCCACGAATTGGACAGAAGAACCTACTCCTTGTCACATACAAGCATGGTATCGAAACCATACCATGAGGTAGGAAAGACGACCCTACATCTAGGATCGGAACCACATTATTTGATTATTTACTACAACTTACCGTACAATTATCCGACGTATATCTAGGTTTAGGATGGACCACACTATTTAACACTGCTACTTGTTTTTTTCTGCCTTTCAACATATACATATTCACCTGCAATAGAGAAATATAATTAAATATACTTTAACATCCATCCTACGTTTCATAACAAAACATAACACAAGGTATATATGTTTCTCTATTATTTAATAACGACATTTTCAAGTTAATGATAAATATCCATCTAGTCAGCCTATTTATTTATATTTTGGCTAACACCAAATTTATTAATAACCAGAAGAAAGCATAAAGACAATAAATAAAACAAAACAAGAATAGATAATTGACCCTTGGTAGAATGATATAAGATAATCAGTACTAAAACAGGTAAATTAGAACCAGACAGTAATAATGATAATATATGTTACAAATTAATAGAGACAACCTCATTTAAAGATTTGAGACATCCTACTGTCCTGCACCAACTGGGAAAATAAAGACAGGCATTGTGCCACACTCTGTGCCATAGTCAACTCTTATTTTGACTTCCAATTAACAGGTGATTTTTATGATGCCAACGGCCTATGAAATGAAATAGGGTTTAATGTCCTACTGTTTTGCTCTTCCGACTGGGCTATAATGAAGTCAGGCATATGCCATACAGTGTACAATGAGGAAAATTTTGCCCAGACAGCGGCTCTACGGCCTACTCTTATATAGAATTCCAACTGTTAGGTAATTTCGGGACTAACACATGGTTCAATTTTATTTCAATAATTCACATGCGTGTAGGGTCTTTAGCAGTGTGAGGAAACCGCAGGACCCGGAGAAAACCCACGAGGTTGGACAGGCAACCCTACTCCTTGTCACTTACAACCAGGGACATCATAGGACTAACATATGGTTCGATTTTATTTCGATAATTATTACATCAATAATTCGTTTGCGCATAGGGGTCTTTAGCTGTGAGAGGACCCTGAGAAAACGATGTTGGACAGTAGTGGTCCCTTCAGCTTGTTTTCCATGTATGCGTTACCATTGCATTAGATTGACTTATTTGCCTTTTGAAAACGTGGGTCGAAAATGTTGTAAAACTGCCTACATTGAAAACAGACCTAATATTGTGTTTACTCCTCTACATCTTAATAACCAGAGAGAGAGAGAGAGAGAGAGAGAGAGAGAGAGACAGACAGAGAGAGAGAGAGAGAGGGAGGGAGGGGGAGAGAGAGAGAGAGAGAGAGAGAGAGAGAGAGAGAGAGAGATGGGGTTAACATCCACAAACTGGAGGACCCGGAGAAAACCCACGAGGTTGGACAGGCGACACTACTCCTTGTCATGTACGACCTGGGATTTGAAACCACGCTAGATGACTCAATGGCAGACCTCAGGATACAGCGTGCACATGCTAACCAATCGGCCATCCAACCGCCCTCTAAATAACAAGAGCTTGTAAACGTACCATTTCTGGTGTTTGACATCCACGATTTATGTCTGTCACTTAATCTCCATTTGGCCGTAGTTTCAGCACTGTTTAACCAACCACATGATCCGATACTTATATCACATTTATCAAACGAACTCACGGCCCTTGGTGGAATTTTATCTGAAATTAAAACAAAACCAACAATATACTAATACAAACAGACACAACCAGTCAGATCATTCATGGGTACATCAAAAGAGAGAGAGAAATAGGATTGAATGTCTACTTGACATAGGGGGGTTGGATGGCCGAATGGTTAGTACGTGCGTGCTGTATCATAAGCCCTGTCATTGAGTCAACTGGCGTGGTTTCGAATCCTCGGTTGTACGTGACAAGGAGTAGGGTCGCCTGTCCAACCTCGTGGGTTTTCTCTGGGTCCTCCGGTTTCCTCCCACTGCTAAAGACCCCTACGCGCAAGCGAATTATTAAAAATAAAATTAAACCATATGTTAATCCCGAAATGACCTAGTTAGTGTCGAGTGGACGTTAAACCCCATTTCTCTCTCTCTCTCTCTCTCTCTCTCCACTTGACATAAACTAGGTGATTTCGAACCATGTATTTCATTTCAATTGTTTACTTGCGCAGGGGTCTTTAGGATTGGGAGGAAATTTGGGGGCCTGGTACTTAAAAAAATAACAGAATCAGAATGCAAACGACACACCTTCTCGCTATAATAGATAAAAAATGGATAACGTAAATAGAATATGTTGAAAATTTCAGTCAAATTGCACCACTCTGAACCAAGATATTAGCAATTGAATTTTAAACCTAGCCTCGATCATCATTACTATTAAAAGTTGGTGCAATAAAAACCGAGTTCCGATTATCCATTTTTGGATTTAATCACCAATGAGCATGGAGCAGCAGATCGGATTCAAATCCAGTAAAAATTTGACACATAATATGACATCGGGAGTTGATTATGGCCTGGATAAGTTAATTAATGTCTAATTAATAGTTTATATAACATTACAGGCCTAAAGAATGACCTGCAATAGGCAGATTTAGCTCTTGTATAATGTATGTTTAATAACCTGGTAAAATATAACAACTAGCATTGAAATACAATATAAATATCCTATGACTAGCACCAGACTGATATGTGCTAGCTAGGGAAGAGAGAGAGATAGAGAGATAGAGAGAGAGAGAGAGAGAGAGTGAAGAGTAGGGGTCTTTAGCAGTGGGAGGAAACCAGAGGACCCGGAGAAAACCAACGAGGTTGGACAGGCGACCCTACTCCTTGTCACATACAACCGGGGTATCTATATAGAGAGAAAGAGAGGAGAGAAATGGGGTTTTATGTCCACTCAACACAAACTTGGTCATTTCGGGACTAACACATGGTTCAATTTTATCTCAATAACTCGCTTGCACGTTGGGGTCTTTCGCATTGGGAGGAAACCAGAGGACCCGTAGAAAACCAACGAGGTTTGACAGACGATCCTACTCCTTGTCACGTACAACCAGTGAATCAAAACCACACCAGTTGTCTCAATGACAGACCTTATGATACATGCTAACAATTCGGCCATCCCTGCCCCCCCCCCCCCCGATATGTCCTAAAGCCGGCGCTGTTCGTATAAAGTTAGCTCAGACCAGTAAACATACATAATCTTTACTATATCTACCACTGGCAAGTTGTATTAATTAGACCTTATCATCCCTTAGACTATGTCTATAGACTTAAGGCAAGACAATGTATAGAATATCAGAATGTCAAAGGTCAATACGAGTGCTGAAGAAGCCCTGAAGACAATATTGTGGATAACTTATCTACCAAGAAAATACAAATATAGGTTTAAAATTACTACGCAGGAAACCTAAGACATTTTAATTAAAAATAATCATGAATTTTGTTGTTTAGCTGGAACCAACTGAAAGTTGAAACCAAATGAGAAAATACAGAGTGATGTCCCTTTAACTGATATAACTACAAGAATTTATTTTCAAAGGTTTGAGGGGGGGAGGGGGAACCATGAAAAGAAATAGGTTAGCCAAGAAGGGTTGTTAAAACCCATGTATAACACCCTACCCTTTTCTGATCCCCAGAATTCAGGAAAAATTGATTTTTTCCTGAGTGAAACATACCGTTCCAGTTTAATTCCATCTAGTATAGGCCATGGATTACACAATGTATAGACCAGGAATCTTGATCACCCAACCTCATGAAGGTCACAATCTAATATTAAGTGCAGGAGGACCACACTACATGCAAAACAAAAATCTACAAGATAAACCTGCGGACAAGACAGAAAATAGACATTGCACACAGACTTCACTCAAATTTGAAAACAATCAGGAATACAAAAAAGACATAGTAGAAATAATGCGACCAATCTTGACAGTGGTCGTCTCCTCAATGGCGATAGTCTGCCAGTTGACGTCATGATTTTAACAATAAGGGCAATAATCTGGACAATAAAGGCTAAAATAATAAGTGTAGTGAGCAAACCGGAGCAAAACCCAAAGAACATTCTACAGTACGGAGGGTTAAAACTCTACTCTAATAGTAAGTGCAGGAGGACCGCACCACACGCAAAACAAAAATTAGCATATTTACTAGTAATTTTAATAATTTTGTAAATTTCCATGCTTGCTTTCTGTTCATAAAACATCCAATAATCATAGAAATAAAATAAAATGGGGTTTAAGGTCCTAGTCTTCTACTCCGACTACTCGATATTCTACTAAAGCCCTTTCCCACCCCCCTTCTCCTCCCTCCCCCGCAATATACATTTCATTCTGATGGGCGTGATATCCCACAAAACTATTTCAATTGCTTTAAGATAATTTCCATTTTTATTTTTGCCTCAAATTTCCAAATTAATAGATAGCCTCAGTAGAGAGAGAGAGAGAGAGAGAGAGAGAGAGAGAGTTAACATCCACTCGACACAAACTATGTCATTTTGGGACTAACACACAAGGTTGGACAGGCGACCCTACTCCTTGTCACATACAACTGGGGAATTGAAACCATGCCAGTTGACTCAACGATATTAAACGAATGTGAAAGAAATTAGTGCTAGATACACAAGATTAAATGATACCTGGGTTACAATGTGACCTGACACCAAAAAGATCTTATCTTATCTAAAATGTTATGACATTCACGCAATATTTAGATACGATAATTTCAGGTCACACTCGAGACCAAATCAAGTGTCTAAAATGTTATGACATTACCTAACATCTGGTCAACTCAATATTTAGATACAATAATTTTAGGTCACACTCAAGACCAAATTAAGCGCGTAGCACAAGAAGGAAACCAATCAAGCCGGTGTTTGGATTCGATTTGTTGAAAAGAACGGGGACTCCATATGGTACAACGTGATTATAAGAATACACTGGGAGGTCTTGTCATCATATGGCAACGATATTAAGACACGATTCTGTTAGTGACAATAACTGACTGACTGACATAGAAAATATTTAGTTAATATCATAGCCTATTCAACAAGACGGTCAATGACAGTTGAATAATACGACCAGACTTCTCTAACAAACTAAAGAGTTTATTACAATGTTAATTAATCATTGGTCTTGACCCAGACAATATGATTACCGATAATCAAATAAATCATATCACAAATCACACTTATTCCCTTACAGCAACAAATCATGTATAATATACAGTCTCTTATTCCCTTACAGCAACACAATCATATATAATATACAGTCCCTTATTCCCTTACAATAACAACCACATTCCCTTACAGCAACAAAATCATATATTATATACAGTCCCATATTGCAATTGCCTCACAGCAACAAAATCATGTATAATATACAATCCCATATTCCTTTACAGCAACAAAACACTTAATATATAACTATCACCAAATAGTGATATTAAATTTAATTTCTTTTTCAAATTTTATTTAAGAATGCATAATTTATATCTTAATTCTATATTCATATATACAGACAATATGGCTGACTTTAATATTATCAGCCTGTCTGTCATTGATTTAAAGTTTAATATTTTGATTTAAACCTCCTAAAGTGATTGTCTTAAGCAAGAATGGTCTTGACTGGACTGTTATAATCTTTGGATGCCAATAGGCCTATTAAGCGAAACCTTAGAATTGACAATAGTCAGATCAGTGATAATCAAGTGTCAACACTTTTAATGAAATGAAATGAACTGGGCTAATGAAGACAGGCATATGCCATACAGTGTGCTATGAGGGAAATTTTGCCCGGACAGCGGCACTATGGCCTACTCTTATATCGAATTTCAACTGTCAAGGGATCTTTTACGTTCACGCCAATGTGTACATAGGACCTTGTTTTTTCGTCCCATCACTGACAAGGGAAACCACACTGGAAAATCTGGATGAAAATCTCGACCAATGCAGGGATCAAACGCCCGACCTCCAGGCTAGCGAGCCAGCGTCTTACCCACTTAGGAGCTACTTAAAACTGCTCTAGTAATATAAAAGTTGACCACAGTGTTGTGATTTATCTGGGTATTTTTGGGTTGGGAATAGTACGGAGTGGGGAGAGATGGGGATAAGGAGAGCTCCACTGACAAGGGGAAGCAACCCTGGAAAGTCCTGAGGTACTGCCTGGGCCAATAACAGGATCCTGATTAGTAAGCCAGCACCTTACTCGCTGAGCCACCACAGAAGATTCACATTAATCATTCGTGTTTAAATGTGGTGTTTTTTGGGGATGAGTAGATTAGGAGGTGGCTAAAATCTGTGACTCTCAGTTTTGTGGGATAGCGCCCTTACTGACTGAGCCACCGTGTCCCCCCCGTCATATATGATTTGCATGCATTCGTTAAAGACAGAGAGAAATGGGGTTTAATGCCCACTTGACAAAAACTTGGTCATTTCGGGACTAACATATGGTTCAATTCTATTTCAATAATTCGCTTGCGCATAAGGGATCTTTAGCAGTGGGAAGAAACCCACGAGGTTGGACAGGTGACCCTAATCCTTGTCACGTACAAGCTGGGAATCAAAACCACGCCAGTTGACTTAATGACAGACCTTCTGATTTAACGTGCATGTGTTAAAAATTCGACCACCTACATTCCCCCGCCCTTCATTATAGAGGATTCATATGCACAAAGACAATCGCATGACAAATAATTTGCGTTCGTTACAGATGATACGTGTAATAAGCATGTTCGAACGATATTATTTGCTACACATGAAACTAAATAGACGCTCTGACACAATATGGCGATGATATAATGTCATGTCAATCTGCAATCGCATGACAAATAATTGTAATACAATATCATTTGGGATCTAAATTTCAATATTGTATTCTTAATTCATATTTTATTTGTAACTCAATTTTAGACATATATTAAGTGACAGATTAATTGTAAGATTTAATCTATATATCAGGTGTAGGTTGTTGAAATAGTATTATGTAAGATTTAATGGATTGTACAAACATGTATACTCGGAGTGTCTATATGGTATAAGATTCAGGCTTAACACGTATTGACACCTTTTGTCTTGAGCTAAGATGTGTGAATCTTAATAATTACTTTTCATTGTCCTGATTACTAATGGTATTAACTATGGCGTGCCTTAACCGATATAAAAAGCCTAGTTTACAAGCAGGCAGGGAAAAGGGTACAAAGGAGGGACAAGAGAGACCCGTAGAGGCTGAGAGGTCTCCCGGACCTCGGGAGAGGGTCTGCCCTCGACACCGGGCAGAGGGGTCCTGTGAGGCCGAGTAAATATCTTTTTAATAAATAAGAGTTATGTATTCTATCACATAATTGCATCTAAAATGTTCACCAGACATATTAAATATAGAAATGATGCGGTCAACTGTAAGCTGTGTCAATCTCAATATAAGGTCTGTCTAATGTATTGTAAGATTTCTTAATGACAGACCTCATCCATAGCTCTCAAGAATATCTCTCTACTTCAAAATTTACCAGCCAATGTAGCCAAAGATAGAGAGAGATAGATAGGAGGGAGAGAGGGAGAGAGGGGGAGAGGGAGAGAGGGGGGGGAGAGAGAGAGAGAGAGAGAGAGAGAGAGAGGGGAGAGAGAGAGAGAGAGAGAGAGAGAGAGAGAGAGGGGGGGGAGGGAGATAGAGAGAGAGAGAGAGAGAGAGAGAGAGAGAGAGAGAGAGAGAGAGAGAGAGAGAGAGAGGAGAGGGAGAGAGAGAGAGAGAGAGAGTGAGAGAGAGGGGGAGAGGGAGAGAGAGAGAGAGAGAGAGTTTAATGTCCACTCAACACAAACTAGATCATTTCAGGACTAACATATGGTTCAATTTTTTTTCAATAATTTGTTTGCACGTAGGGGTCTTTAGCCGTGGGAGGAAACCGGAGGACCCGGAGAAAACCCACGAGGTTGGACAGACAACAATGATATTTGCAGTTGCATGTTTGTTTGCTTGTTCAACATTATTTTGCTGAATATAGGACGAAAAAATATTACGCACTGCTTGAGCTGATACGCCTCCTACATAAAGATATAACACGACTATAAAGAAATACTTTAAAGTGCAAGTTGATTCATTGCATTAACCAATATGTCTTGCAAATAAATTAAATATTGATCTGAAATTAAATTAGAATTTTTACTCCTTTCTTTTGCAGTTGACTGAAGTTTTATTAAATTAAATTAAATAAAAGTATGCAGTAGACAGAAATCGTTTCTATTATTAAATTAAAGAAAGGTATGCAATATGCATATAGAAATCTCTTTTATTATTAGATTTTCATTGATCAAAGACTTGAGAATGTAAGTGTACAAATTCTATATAGAGCCCAAATCTACTATATCCACAACCTTCATACTTTACAGGGGAGTAGGTGGTCGAGTGGCCTAATGCATGTGTTTTGGTTCATAAGGTCAAATGGTGTGGTTTTTATCAAACACTTTTAAGTGACAAGAAGTAGGGTCACCTGTCCCAGGCCTCTGATTTCTTTTGGCTACTAAAAACCTCAACATGCAAGCAAATTACTGAAAATAAAATAACCTCTCTCTCTCTCTCTCTCTCTCTCTCTCTCCCTCTCTCAATTCAATGGAGCTAAAGAAAATACAACATGCCATGTGCTATGAGGGGACATTTTGCCCAGACAGCAGTTTCTGTCTACTCTTCACAGACTTTCACTTGTCAGGGTTGTTTAACGTGCACTCCAATGTGTACACTGGATCTAGTTTTGGGTCCAACTCCTTAGGGGAGAGAGAGAGAGAAATGGGGTTTAACGTCCACTCGACACAAACTAGGTCATTTCGGGACTAACATATGGTTTAATTTTATTTCAATAATTCGATTGCGCGTAGGGGCCTTTAGCAGTGGGAGGAAACCGGAGGACCCGGAGAAAACCCACGAGGTTGGACAGGCGACCCTACTGCTTGTCACGTACAACCGGGGATTCGAAACCATGCCAGTCGATTCAATGACAGACTTTATGATACAGCGCACGCACGTTAACCATTCAGCCATCCAACCCCCCAACTCCTTAGGGACTTTCTCAGCCATGATTGAAACAACAAACCTCCACATGGTTAGTTAGCCAGTGCCTTACTCACTGAGTCACCATGGCGCACAACAGCATCAAACGGGTATGGGAGAGACCGTTACTCAATGAGCCTGCATGGACTATGACAGATTTCATTAGCCTGCTATGCATAATGTTATCTGTCTAGTCATTCGGATGGGACAAAAAAACAAAGGTTCCATGTACACATTGGCGTAAACGTGAAAGATCCCTTGACAGTTGGAATTCGCTATAATAGTAGGACGTAGCGCCGCTACCCGGGCAAGATTTCCCTCATAGCCCAGTCAGTGCAGAACAGTAGGACGTTAAACCCCATTTCATTTCATTTTATTTCTCACCTTTCTGGCAAGATTTCAGTGATATGCTGTCGATGGCTATATACGAGTCCTCCTGGGGCACATCTGCAGCCAATATTATCTGATATGAAGTCATCATAGGCGATTTATTCAAATAAATTGATTGCTCGAACCAACTGAAAAAGACAAGTAATAGCATATTATGTTATTGTTTAACAGCAATAAAATAAGTTCGGGGAACTATCTCAAACAATGGACTTTTCTTCTTTTCACTCTACCCTGAACAATTCAATAGTAAAGCAAAGAAAAAGAAAAATGATCAATGTGACAAAAAAAATAAAAATTTAATATCTGTTTTTTATGATCAATCAAAACCGACACTACTGATTTTCGCACTAATGGTTCTTTGTTCGACACCAGACAATATCATATAGTGCTTTTATATACATGCAAATGAGAACTCTATATATACTTTTTAATTAAAATAGGGTCGAGATTAGAAAATTGTAACCAATATTCATATCATTATGTAAAAAAAAAATGAAAAGAATGTGTTTCTACTGGATAACAAAGCAATAACCATTTTATCAGGAAACACGTTTTTTTTCCTCCGGTTATTGGGTGGGATAGGGAGATAAAGCAGTCGATTGTCGTTTGCATTAATCGAACAATAACTGATTATTCACGCCACTTAAATATACTCAAGCTCTATGTACCCAAACAGATTAACATTTCTAAATCCACACAAATTTTTTTTAACTGAGAGAGAGAGAGAGAGAGAGAGAGAAATGGGGTTTAATGTCCACTCGACACAAACTAGGTCATTTCGAGACTGACATATGGTTCAATTTTATTTCAATAATTCGCTTGCACGAAACCGCGCCACTAGACTCAATAGGGACCTTTCGCACCGGTACAAAAACGAATATGAAAACGAAAACGTCATCGATTCGTGTGTACTTGTGACGTCAATCCATAATGAGTGTTCGGCCCGTGAAAAACGTTACGCGTATGGAGCTGGATTTACGTAGGTATGCCAACGAATATGTTTCTTGTCTCATATATTGAATTTTTCACCATTTTTTGAGCCTTTGTGTATATTGTTGATTGTGTAGCGTTCTTAGAATGTGCTCACAAGAAATATTCTGCTTTATTTGTTGCACATCTGCCGAAAAATCGATTGAAAACTTTGCCTTGACCGAGAAGTTCGTGGAGTGGAAATTAACGCCATCTAGTTATTATCGTACGTCGGATTGCGAAACCGCTTGTTAGAGGATACGAAAACGTAAGCGAACATATGACAGACCTTACGATCTAACACGTGTTAATAGGTTTCACAATCTGATTCAAATACAGATCTATATTTCGTTTCATACGTTTGATGGCCTCTACTACCTGAAGATCTGACCAGTTGTAGAGGAGGGTCGCTTCAGGAGTCATACGAACGGCTTTTGACTCTATGATGTCAGAAATTTGATTAACCAATCAGCGCTGATGTTTCTAGTGGGTTACCCACAGTTCCGTGCACCTCACGCCAAAAACTTGCCGTAACATTAGCTAATCCCTCACATCAACCAGAATGTGGGTTATATAACAACTCTTCCAGATCCTAGTGTAGTAAAGACAAGTAAAACGAAATTTTGAACTATGAAAAACGAATCGAAATAGGATCTGTGTTTTAATCAGATTGAAAGTTTCATAACGATATCTTGAATGGTTTCTGAAAATAATTGTATACAAAAAACTAAGTCAGTTTTTTTTTCAGTTTTTTTTTTTATTAACTCCCAAGAAATCTATAAATACCAAAAAGACTCAAATACTATAATAGGTTGATGTGTAAACTGGTCCAAGGACATTCAAGGTGTAAGGACATCCAAGGTGTTTCCGAGATATGTTCTGGAAACCGAACCAAGACGGATTCAGACCATTTCTATATCCCTGTCCACACTGGCATGCATGTAGAAATGGGGTTAACGTCCACTCGACACAAACTAGGTCATTTTGGGACTAACATATGGTTTAATTTTATGTCAATAAATCGCTTGCACGTAGGGGTCTTTAGCAGTGGGAGAAAACCCATGAGGTTGGACAGACGACCCTACTCCTTGTCACATACAACTGGGGATTAGAAACCACGCCAGTTGACTCAATGACAGGCTTTATGATACAGCGCGCACGTGCTAACCATTCGGCCATCCAACCCCCCGCATGTAAAAGAACCTTCGACAGTTGAAATTTGAAATAAGAGTAGGCCATAGTGCCACTATCCATGCACAATTTGCCTCTCGTCTTCCTTAGCCCAGTCAGTGCAGAAAAGTAGGACATTAAACCTCATTTTATTTCATTTCTCTCATAGCCAGAGGACAACAGCAACCACACACCACCCAAACAATATTAAAAGCAGGTCAGTGTCCCCCGGATCCCAACGAGCAAAATCCTCCTATCAAATATGAAATAGCGCAATGAAGGAAGTGCTTCAGGAGAAGAAATGGAAAATGTAATAAACGTAAAAAAAGAAAGAGGAAAGAAGTTGTTATATTTCAAGCTAATTATTGTTATAGGCTACAGACAACGACAGCGGCAACAACATTGATAATCCATTTATAAAGTGCGTTTTCCTTGCATGTGATTAATGACCCTAGGGGAACGCAGGAAATTACGTTTAGAATCACAAGTATCTTAGTACATTATAATTAATATTTTAAGACCAGTCTTTTATTCTAGAAAACCTGCAAGAACTCTTCTAATGTTCCTGGTTATTTTTTTTACGTAAATATATCAATCAAAGGACATTCTAAAAACAGAACCACAACTTTTTTTATATCAAGGGCAATAATCCAAGAAGTTACAGTCCGACATGTGCCAATATAAAAATACATTTTAATTTTCTTCAAAAAAAGTTAAAAATTTTGATAAAAAAAATGTGACAGGACGGACAGACAGGGACGATGGCATAATATGTCCATGTGAAAATGTGAGCGTATAAAAACACTTTGAAACTTTGAAACTTTAAAAAAGACAAAAGTGGGTCATAAAGCAAATATTAATGTAATATTAATGTATGTAAAGTGATATATATTCAAATTTTTAAATATATATTGTAATTTCTATTAAAATAATTATTATTTTGGGGTTTGTGATTACCAATCACTTCTGCTTTGTCTTGTAGGACAAGTTTTTCTTTGTTCATTACAAATGACATCCAATACTATAGAATACACGACTCGTGTATTGATTATAAAATGTTAATGGTGTCTTAAATATTGGATATTAGGATCCCATAGTTTCACTGCAAGATAACATCAATATTAATTGAAATGGAGAGAGAGAAAAATGGGGTTTAACGTCCACTCGACACAAACTAGGTCATTTTGGGACTAACATATGGTTTAATTTTATTTCAATAATTCGCTTGCGCGTAGGGGTCTTTAGCAGTTGGAGGAAACCGGAGGACCCGGAGAAAACCCACGAGGTTGGACAGGTGACCCTACTCCTTGCCACGTACAACCGGGGATTCGAAACCACGCCAGTTGACTCAATGACAGGCCGCATGATACAGCGCGCACGTGCTAACCATTCAGCCATCCAACCCCCCTAATTGAAATGGACCAATATTGAATTCTAATTCATGTTTTTAATTTTGAATATTATGAAAAACATCGAGTTAGAGATTTAGCTCCTTTAAAATAATATTTATCATTGTTTGTCAAACCTGGAGAAAAGGGCACCTGTCACAGACATCAGGTATAGGCTCTGTCAAACACACTTCCTCTGTCACCTGTCATTTTATCCAGTACAGAAGAGTTGTATCTATCAGTGTTTTTAATGATATATTTAATACATTTCCGGTTGAATAATAATAATTGTTTTTCTTCACAAAAAAATCCCCTTAACATTGTAGTAAATTGCAGAAAAGTTTTGAGTGCTAAATGTTAAAAAAATAAAAATTAAAAAAAATAAAAAAATAAAAAAATAAAAAAATTAAACATACATTATGCAAGAGCTAAATCTGTCTATTTCAGGTCTTTCTTTAGGCCGGAAATGTTATCTAAATAATTAATTAGACATTAATTAACCTATCCAGACCATAATCAACTCTAGATGGCATCGCTAGCCTGCGATCTTTAGTGGATTATGAGCCGATTTACTGCATAACTTTCCTTCATGATTTAACTGTAGCAATGATGATCGAGGCTAGGCGGAAATTTCAATCGCTTAGTTCTCGGTTCATAGTGGATCAATTTGAATGAAATTTTCAGCAAATTGCCTTTACATTATCTAGTTTTTAACTATTATAGTGAGAACTGCCAACGATTTTATGACTTTAACATGCTCTTTTTACCAACATCAAAATCAATCAACTTTGTAATAAAATAATGGATTGCGATTTTTCAATCTCAATTCATATATAAAAGAGAAGATCACAGAAAAACCAGGGCCAAAAATTAAGAAAAGACTAGAAACTTGAAAAATCTTTGAAAAACTTTGAAAAAAGAGGGGCTTATGTCTCACGCCTTAATTACTAAATAAATAGAGAGTGATAAATGGGGTTTAATGTCCACTCAACACAAACTACATCATTTCGGGACCAACATATGCTTCAATATATTGTCGCGTTTCTGTCGAACCGACGAATCTGATATATTTAAGTATTGAGAATTATGTGTTTGAAATTTGTGATTTAATATTTCATACATATACATCAGAACACCGAATGCCATTTACATAAATTTTATTATTTGATGGCTACAGAAATAACAACAAATTTCAAACGCATAATTCTCAATACTTAAATATATCAGATTTGACGGTTCGCCAAAAACGTGACGATATTTCAATAATTCATTGTGCGTAGGGGTCTTTAGCAGTGGGAGGAAACAGGAGGACCCAGAGAAAATCCACAAGGTTGGACAGGTGTGATTTAATGGTCGAGAGAAATGAAATGGGGGTTAACGTCCTACAGTTCTGCACCGACTTGACTCAGAATTGAGTAACTTTACTGAAATTTTCAATATATTCAATGGCCAGCTTTTGATTTAAATCTTACATAATGTATCTTTAACGATATGTTTTTTACCTGCCGTTTGTATGAGTCAGTGGTCCAGGTGGGTTTATTGGTCCTATTAATGGTCGTTTAGGTAACTCAGCGCTATCAGTACCACAGTGGTTATTGACGTAAACCAATAGCTTCTCATTTTTCTTCGATCCACTAACTACTGCTTTAAAATGGATTGAACACACCTGTTCTTCTGCTGGATAACAGGGACTGAACAATGTTCTGGTAGTCTGGTGTAGTTCTTCACCAGTCTCTCCAACTGCCAGTATGTAGTGACCTGAAATATAAACATTACAATATTAGCTTCAAATTATGATTTAAGTCTTGGAAGTTCGTTTGAGGGACTTTAAGAGAGATAGAGAGAGAGAAATGAGGTTTAACGTCCACTCGACACAAACTAGGTCATTTCGGGACTAACATATGGTTTAATTTTATTTCAATAATTCGTTTAGCAGTGGGAGGAAACCGGTGGACTCGGAGAAAACCCCCGAAGTTGAACAGGCGACACTACTCCTTGTCACGTACAACCGGGGATTCGAAACCTCGCCAGTTGACTCAATGACAGGTCTTATGATACAGCTCGCACGTGCTAACAATTCGACCATCCAACCCCCCATTTGAGGGACTTTAAATCTAGGGGTTGGCCGAATGGTTAATGCATGCACGTTGCATCATAAGGTCTGTCATTGAGTCAAATGGTGTGGTTTCGATTCCCTGGTTGTACATGACAAGGAGTAGGATAACCTGTCCAACCTTGTGTTACGCGATTCTAGTCAGGCCCAAGGCCCCGCTCTGGTTAAGCTGGGCTATGTATGGTAGCTTCTACATCACAGTTAACAGCGATAATTTCACAAAACTTGTTTCTAATTTCGCTCCGAAATGGTTTCATGGAGTCACTGCCTTCTTCTTGGCACGCCAAGACTGTGTAGGGTAATTGGCTTCGTGAACTATGACAGAATACCGCTGTAAGAACTGTGTCACTCAGCACGATCTGTTGTTAACTAACCACAATTATAATCAAGGTAGTTTACCATCTGGATGAAAATTAGACAAAATACCTTGGCTCACTTCCAAAGCTCGAGTTAATAACTTTGTAAAAAACCACAAAAATGTACAGGTTAGCTGGTATATTATATAAGTTTTTTTTGTCGTCTTTTCAGATCTCAACTCAATTAACTTGAGAATCTGATCTTATTGAAATCCTAGTAATTATATTGAATTTCATAGACATATTTCTTATTATTACATCTGAGAGAGAGAGAGAGAGAGAGAGAGAGAGAGAGAGAGAGAGAGTTTAATGTCCACTTGACACAAACTAGGTCATTTCAGGACTAACATTTGGTTCAATTTTATTTCAATAATTCACATGTGCGTAGGGGTCTTTAGCAATGGCAGGAAACAGGAGGACCACTGACTCTCATAGGGTCAAAAGCCGCTCATATGACCCCTGAAGCGACCTCCCACAAAACATAGATCTGTGTTTTAAACAGATTGAGAGAAGAACAGGTGTATATTAATAGACCAGGTATTGATGTAAAGGTAAAGGTGTGGATGTTATCATATACGCTCAATTAAACCAAACTTGTCGAGCTTGACAGTCTCGATCAATCAAATTGCTCATCATCACTCTCACTTAATTAGAACTAAAGTCATTGTGTCCCATAGCATTAACTAATCAAATTGCGCATCTCTGCTTATTCAAGTTTGAAATTGAAATTCTAGCTCAATTAGAATTATTGTGTAAAGTGTGACGGATGGACACACCCATTTTCTTCGAAAGGCAGTGAACGTTGAAATTTACCTGTTGCAGGTAATATTGACATTCGGGTTCGTGTTATACTTATGAAAAGGATATGTTGACATCATTACTTGCACTGTTTAAAAATTTATGAAGCTTTTTCGATGACCTTTAAACAAGAAATTTTCCACTGAATTAATCCATGATCTTACTTTTTATTACACAATTCCTACCCTTATATAATTATCTAATAGTACATAATTCATTCCCTTATCTTTTCTAGTAGAGATTTCATGATTTTATTTCAATGAGTTCATCTAATAAATACCGATTTTCCAATTCTAATCTCAATAAATTTTATTGAGAATCCTACTGATGATAACAGGATTGAATTAGATTTCAATATAAAATACCAATAAAAATATTTTAATTCTGTTCTGCGGCAATATAATTAAGTGAGCTGTAGATGTACAATGTGGGTAGATATTTTTTTGTACAATAAAATTGAGAACCGCAAGCATCTATCTATTTTCTATTGAGCACCACAATTGATTAAGTAGAACTTTAAAATGAAAGAAATTGAAATGACATGAATTGGGGTTTTAAGATCTAATGATGAGAGAGAGAGAGAGAGAAAGAAAGAGAGAGAAAGAGAGAGAGAGAGAGAGAGAGAGTTTAATGTTGACTCGACACAAACTAGGTCATTTCCTCCGGACTAACATATGGTTCAATTTTATTTCAATAATTTGCTCGCACATAGGGGTCTTTAGCAGTGGGAGGAAACCGGAGGACCCTGAGAAAACCCACAAGGTTAGACAGGCAACCCTACCCCTTGTCACGTACAACCACCCTTATGATTATTCGCAGACGGCAATTTAATCCTAATTGTCAAGGGTTCTTTTATATGTACGTTAATGCTGGATCACGGTGGCTAAGTGGATAAGACGCTGGCTCACTAGCCTGGAGGTCGGGTGTTCGATCCCTGCATTGGCCTTGAAAGTTCATCCAGATTTTCCAGTGTGGTTTTTCCCTTGTCAGTGACGCAGGACGGAGGGCCTGACAAGGACAGCTGTCTAGTCCTTCGAATGAGACGAAAAACCAAGGTCCCGTGTATACATTGGAATGCACGAAAAAGATCCCTTGGCAGTTGGAATTCGATATAAGAGTAGGCGATTGTGCCGCTGCCTGGGCAAAATTTCCCTCATAGCACACTGTATGGCGTATCCCCATCTTCATTAGCCCAGCATAAGAGCAGAACAGTAGGACGTTAAACCCCATTTCATTTCATTTCATGCGGGATAAATTTTAATTTCTCTAAGAGTACAAATGGGTAGAGCTTTGTGCAGTGTATCAATGCTGATATGTATCGAGTAATCGTCATAAACATGTTAATGATATAATCACCATTTCAAATATAATTTATTACATCTACAATCATAAATAATCATACATACATAAAATTAATTTCATGCACGGTCGCGTTCAATAAACTTCACAATATATGGAAATAAGCAAATTACTGAGAATCTACCCATTTAAATTTATCTGCAATTATTCTAAATGAAATGAAATGGAGTTTATCGTCCTACTGTTCTGCTCCTAACCTGGGCTAATGAAGACGGGCATACGCCATACAGTGTGCTATGAGGGAAATTTTGCCCGGACAGCGGCACTACGGCCTACTCTTATATCGAATTCCAACTGCCAAGGGATCTTTTACGTGCACGCCAATGTGTACACGGGACCTCGGTTTTTCGTCCCATCCGAACGACTAGACAGCTTTCCTTGTCAGCCCCTCCGTCCTGCATCACTGACAAGGGAGAACCACGCCGGAAAATCTGGACAATTATTCTAAAGTTAAAGTCATTCAGATGGGATGAAAAACTTCATTTAAACAATTTGAAATAGACAACCTATTGGGAACCTACCCAATTAAATTTAACCGTAGTCTAGTCTTTTGGATGAGAGGAAAAAAATTGAACAAATTGAAATAAGCAACATAATGGGAACCTACCCATTTGAATTTAACCGTATTTATTCAAAGGGTGAAATCTAGTCATTCGGATGGGATTAAAAACATTTCTTCTGAAATAACCATATTGAGAACCCACCAAAAAATCGTTAAACTTAACCTTATTCATTTTTATGTTAAAGTCAAATCGTTCCGATGGATGGTTGTGATCCTATTGGCATGCAGGTAAAAGAATTTGAAATCTGAGAAAGCAGTCTTTGAAAATTTCCCTTATATCACCCAATAATATATACATGCTACAGTAGATATCGCTTGTGTGATATATCACTTAGGAGATATCGATTTACACAAATTTGTGCATGTAAGAAAGGATTGGGTGATAAATAAAATCTCCTACTGGTCTTTTTTGATATCAAACCATACCAAGTGGTTGAACAGTGAAATACATCTAGCACAGTAGTTACCCAACCATGAGATGAGACCTAGCCCACTCATGTAATTAGATAATATTTCAAATTGTGAAAAATACAAACTTTGGCATTGATAACTCCAATAAAGAGAGAGAGAGATGGGGTTTAACACTCTCTCTCTCTCTCCTCTCTCCCCCCTCCCTCCCTCTCCTCCTCTCTCTCTCTCCTCCTCCTCTCTCTCTCCCTCCCTCTCTCTCTCCTCTCTTCTCTCTCTCTCTCCTCTCTTTTCTTCTCTCTCTCTCTCTCTCTCTCTCCCTCCCTCTCCTCCTCTCTCTCTCTCCTCCTCCTCTCTCTCTCCCTCCCTCTCTCTCTCCTCTCTTCTCTCTCTCTCTCCTCTCTTCTCTCTCTCTCTCCTCTCTTTTCTTCTCTCTCTCTCTCTCTCTCTCTCCCTCCCTCTCTCTCTTTCCTCTCTCTCTCCTCCCTCTCTCTCTTTCCTCTCTCTCTCTCTTCTCTTTCTCTCTCTCTCTCTCTCTCTCTCTCTCTCTCTCTCTACCCTCTCTCTACTCTCTCTCTCCTCCTCCTCTCTCTCCTCTTCTCTCTCTCTCCCTCCCTCTCTCTCTCCTCTCTTCTCTCTCTCTCTCCTCTCTTTTCTTCTCTCTCTCTCTCTCCCCCTCCCCCCTCCCCCTCTCTCTCTCCCCCCCTCTCTCTCTCTCTATTTGATTGAAATAAATTATTCCCAATATTACTACTAATACTGGACAGGTTGTTTTTTTATAAATCAATAACAATATTACTACTTTAATTAAATCTTGGGACAAATAAAACCTTAGTCCACATAGTTAACACATGTTGGATGAAATTCTACCTGTATATATATATACTTTAATAACACAGAGAAAGTCCTTTGTCTGAAACTAGGTCTAACATATGGTTTCATTTTATTTCAATAATTTTCTAGCGCTTAGGGGTCTTTAGCAGTGGGAGGAAACCGGAGGACCCGGAGAAAACCCACAAGGCCTTCAATTAACAACAGGTGTAAATACTATACAGCTTATAAATTAAGTTCTACCTGATTTGCTATAGTTTACAACTGCCTGGCAGGACAATAGGACAATGGCTGGCCGGACAATTTTGCAGGCAGGAAAATAGCTGGCAGG